TGAGTTTAAAAAAATTACTAAAAAAATAATTTTAGTATTATTTTGTCTTCCCAAGGGCCTGATTGATGCGTTGGTGACAAAATAAGCATTGGCGGTCGGTGTTGCAGCGAGAACAGTGGCGGCGAGGCTACTAGACATCGGGCTAAACGGCGATGAGGCTAAGGTTATGATGAAACCTTAGGGCTCCATCTCATATGGGCCATCAGATCAAACACAAATCCAATGGTCAGGAACGAGCGGCGGCTGGAAAGAGTTAAGAGCTAGGGTTTCAAAACCCTAGTTGAATCGGGTTGGGTCAACTGTAACAGGGTTGGATCTTGGGTCGGGTTGGGTCTGCCATTGGACTCCAGTCTTGGGTTGAAACCGGGTGGGCTTGGTTGTATTATCTTGGGTCTTTGTAATGGGACGATTTCTGGTGGGCTTTGGGTCTTGTATTTTGGGCTCTATTTGGGTCTACAAAATGTAAAATATATTGTTAAAATAATAATAATTATTATTATTATTATAAAAATAATAATAATAATTTTTAAAACCCGGATAAAAATGGGTGTCTACAAGTGGGATTTAAATAAATTTTTACCCAGGTACCTTTGGAAATTGCTAGCAAAATTATGAGGTATCCGATCCCTAAGTTCTCCATCATGAGAGATTATGTTCTATGGAAATATACTCATGATGGTATATTTTCTACTCATTTGGCCTATGTTTCCATCATTGTTGGGGATCTCAATGACCAAGATGGGTCTTTTGGTAGCTTCCCATTCCACCGAGGTAGAAAACCTTTATTTGGTTGGCTTGACGAGATAGACTCCTCACTAATACTCGAAAGGCTGCTTGAGGAATGGCAACTTCAACTAGTTGTAGTATTTGTGGATGCCCATTTAAAAATTTAACACATATTTTGAGAGATTGTGGATCGATTAGAGCTATATGACTTTACCATCTTGGTTCCATGCGAAATGATTTCTTTTCGCAGGATATTCATAACCACTTGTTCGATAATCTCGACTTGCAAAATAATTCACAAGCTTGGATTATGTTTTTTGTGACTACATTATGAAGACTATGGACCATAAGGTGCAAGAGAGTTTTTGACACTAAAGAACTTGTTCATGGGGATTATAGGATTTGACGTAACATCGTAGAGACTTCAAATGAGATTTTGCTGGCTAATGTTAAACCTGTTCGAGCATCAACCTGCAATCTCACTATAGCATGGACACCGCCGAGATCGGGGAGCTTGAAACTCAATACCGACGAAGCTTGCTAAGGTAACTTGGGGGTCTCAGCATCAACCCACAAAACAATCTCACTATAGCATGGACACCGCCGAGATCGGTTAGCTTGAAACTCAATACCGACGAAGCTTGCTAAGGTAACCTGGGGGGTCTCAGGAGCGGGTGGAGTTCTTCGCAATGAAGCAAGTCATTGGGTATTAGGGTTCTCTGCACACTTGGGATTTTGTACAGTGTGGCAGCTGAGCTCCATGCAATTAGGATCGGTTTAACCATTGCTTGGGATCACATTTATAGGCCCACATAGTGTGAAGTAGATTCAAGGGGTGTTCTTCTACTTGTTGAGAATGGAGATATTGCCCTATACCCAATGGGAATAATCCTCGAGGACATTCGAAACTTTAGAATGCGTAATTGGAGCCTAACCTTCCAACATACTTACTGTGAAGCAGTGGCGGATGCACCAAGTCTTATAAGGGCAAATGCATCCTATTATTTTGGAAAAAATGTTAAATTTAACTTAATGTGTTAAGGAAAAAATAAAAATAAATTATAATTTTTACATACCCATTATTTTTAAGAAAATAAAATTAAAATTTTGAACTTCCATTTTTTAATTTTTGAATCTACTACTGGGAAGGGAACTTTTACACCGATATCTTATCAAAAGTGGGCTGTTCATTAGATGATGTCATTCTCGAGTCTCCTCCACCTGAAGTGTTATCATCTTTGGATGCTGATATGAGAGGGGTCTCTTTTCCTAGAGGCTTCTCGATAAGTTTTGTTTCTTCTTTCCTGAGTAATCAAAAAAATTATTTTATTTCTTAAAAAAATAAAAACTTTATATATTCCCCCTCTCTATTTATATATGGTTCAAATTTCAATGATCCCAGTCCTTGTTGATCACTAAACTATTCACAACAAAGCCTAGTTCATCACGATACTGGAACACCGAATAAAATCTTACCGATTAAACAACAAAAGAATATTGTCACTGTCGTCTTTTGGGTGGGCCAGGAATTGGGTTTCGACTTGAATGAAAAGGATTAGAGTCGTCACCGACCATTTTAAAACGAATTTAGGTGGGTTGGACACCATTTTACCTGATTTGCGTTATACCAGAAATGTGTCGGGTTCGGGAGTCGATTACGGTCAAGGAAGGATTAGCACCCTTGAACCGCCCTTTCGGTACCAATTAATTTGTCGGTTGTATTAATTACGAAAATTAGAAATTAAAATTTGAAATATTGGATTCGAATTATTACCTTTAATTAATTGAAATTACTACTAAAAATGCCAAAAAATGTTAGATAAAAAAATCTAAAAAGAATGTTAATATAGTAATAAAAATAAAGAACATAGATAAATAAAAGAAAAAAAGTAATAAAAATATAAAATATAAAAAATAATAATAAAATAAAAATTAAATGAAATGAAATGAAATGAAGAAAAAAAATAATAACCAAAGGCTAAAAGAAGGTAAAAATTGAACTTGAAAAACTAATAAAAAATGAAATAAAAATTTAAAACAAGGATAATAATAATGAAAAAAAAAATCATGGACCAATTAATAAATAAACCTAAATGAGACGGGGACTAAAATAAAACATTTTCAAGTATAATATCCTAAGTCAAATTTCAATGAAAAAACAAAACAAATAAGAATCGGACTAAAATCAAATAATTGAAACATTGATGCTTAAAATAAACGAAATTAAAAGTTTCATCCATGAGTAGAAAATAACATTAGAGGGGATAAGGGACCTACGCTGCGATTAGACCACATGCCGAAATTACACAAACAACCCCTGATACAAACGACGTCGTTTTGCTATGGGTATTTATACCCAAACCCACTCACTACAACCCTTAAGCCTTCTCATTTCCTCCTTTTCTCTCTCTCACTAAAAGAGAGAGGAGAAAACTCATCTCTGAATTCTCTCTGGAAACTCCACCGGAGGGAATGACAGCCACCACCACCGGGCACCGTTCCAGCTGCCGCGAGCAAAACTAAACTAACCTAAAAGACTCATCTCGCCACCGTGAACCCAAATCCCAAGACAAAACACCCAAACAATGGCCTCACCGGCATAGATCTAGAAAAAAACCTTCAGGTTTTGTATCTTTTGTGCCGATTTTTCTACTTCTGTTGGCACTTATTTTTTTGCTTTGCGTTTTTTATGTTGTGGTTCGATGCTCTCGATTTTGGTTCGTGGCTTTGTTTTTTTTGGCTTGTGTTTACTCTGTTTGTCGTGGTTTTGTTGTGATAATTTTTGTGTGGTTCTCTGTCGATTTTGGGTACTATTTTTGCGATGGGTTCGAACGTCTGTTCGGTTTACTGTTGACATGTGTGTTCTGTTGGTCGACGTGGTTCTCTCGATGATCTTTTTTTCTCTCTCGGTTCTGTCTCTGTATTTATAGGCTCCCATCGGGGCCACTTTCGAGCGTGTTTGAGGTTGATCCCGAATATCTCGGGGTAGCTCTGTTGTGGGCTGTTTAGATCGTGTTGCGCCGGTTGTTTCGCCGATCATTCCTTGTTTGACTGAAACATCTGCACGTGGAACTCACGCAGGCTCCATACGATACCATTGTTTAGCATGCAAAACCCTAAATTAGGATTTGGGTTAGGTCAATCCCACCTAACCAGGTCTGTTGGGTCAGGCTCACCAGGTTGGGTTTCCTAAACTGGACCGTTTGGATTGTTATTGGACCTGGAAAAGAAACACAAAAGAAATTAATAAAAATAAAACGAAAGAAAGAAAATAAATAAATAATAGTAATAGTAATAATATAGTATAAATTATATAATATATATTTCAAAAATATTTTTAAACCATATATTATATTTTTTAAAAAGCTTTCAAAACTATATATTATATAGTTTTCAAAATTAATTTAAAAATATTAAATAAGTTTTCAAAAATTGTTTTTAAAACTATATATCATATAATTTTTCAAAAAATATTTTAAAAATTATATATTATATAAGTTTTCAATAACGATTTCAAAACTATATATTATATATATTTCCAAAAGGATCTTAAAAAACTATACATTATAAATGTTTTCAAAAAATTTCAAAACTATATAATATATATATTTTCAAAATGTTTTCGAAACCATATAGTATATATATTTTAGAAAACCGTTAAAACATTTTCAAAAACTATATTATATTATTATAAAAGTATATATAATAAAAATAAAAATCCGGACGAAAATAAGTGTCTACTACAAACAATATTAATCCTGACACAGTAAGGAATGAACATTAACAGAAAAAGTTTCAGCATGGACAAAAACTACTGCAAAAAAATGCACTAAAAGCACTACTGCAAAGAGTTTTTATATTCACAAAAAATTGTAGCAGCTTTCAGCATTATATATATATATATATAGATGAACGTGTGATTTTATGGGGGTATGAATTTAGAAATTTATATTATAAATTTAAGGGGTGTGGACTACAAAATTTTAAGGGTGTGAAATTATATTATCAATAGAAAAAATTTAAACTATATGAAAATTTTAACGTGACTGTAACCCCTCTCGAGCCATCCATGTATGTAATTCGTATGTATGTATGTATAGCATGCAAGAAATAATAGAATATTAAGTTGCTAGACTGCAGAGAAAGAGACTGCAATTCTTATTATAGCAGTTGGAATTTATGGACATTGATTTGAACTTTTTTAGAAAGGAGCATTCTACTTCTAGAAAAGATATATTATAGAACAGAAGATCACTAGGGTTTTCTTTTCCTCTCATTTACCTACGTACATACATAGACATACTATATAAGATCCAAACTCAACAACTGTTCATTACAGCATGGAGATTGTTTTCATCTTAATCAAACCTTTCATGTCATATCGACAAAGTGTTTGCTTTTTTGCACACTTTCAACTATATATTTGGCGTACACCTTTCACCACATGGAGTCCATATTGAATGGTTGCTCCTGTTGTTGCTGCAAAGGAACTGCAACCTTGGAAGAAGAAGCTAAATCTGTTGCGTATGGAGGGATGTTAATCCCTTGTGTTGATGACAGAATCGAATAATCCACAGCTGTGACATCTTTTGGTTGATGATTCCTAAGCTGCAATGCCTTGAGCAGAAAGGAATTCATGGAAAGATTAGGGCTTAAAATGGTAGAAGGCCAAGAGAGAGACGATGGAAAGCTTGCTGCTGCTGCTCCAAAATCCAGGTTTAAGTTCATGGGGTTCATATGAGCATGGTTAACGGTATTACTGTAACTAGGGTTTGCAATATCGCTGAAGCCACTTGATGGCTTGGTGTTGATGTTGAGGTTTGGTAGCTCAACGTCGCTAAACTCATTCACGATTGAATTTGCATCCCATGGAGATACAAGCGATGGTTGGGAAGATGAACTTGGCAGCGCTTTCTTCACTGCTGCACTCTTTTGGAATACCCTACACACCACCCATTCCCCCTGTAAACAAAAAGATTCCAGGATTAAAAACAATGCATAATACCAGAAAAAATGTATTAAATAATTTCAACTAAATGGTCACTTTAGTTCCTATTTATTTTTGGAGGCAAAAAAAACTATATTTTAGAGCTTTGATTATTAGTTAACTAATGGTTTTCATACAGTCTTTTTGCTCCTAATATTTTATTTTAGAGTAAAAAGACTCTTATTTTAGAATACTATTGATTGGTTGTTTATTGAGTAACGATTTTTATACACTAAGGGACATTTTTGCCTCAAAATGAAATATTAAGAATCAAAATACTTTGAAAAAAGAATACAGAAAAAAATAATTATTTAATTAAACATTAAGGATAATTTTTGTCACCGTGTCTAAAAAACAAATCATATTAGGGCATTGACCGTTGGTCTCCGATTAAATAATCACTTTAGTCCTTTTTTTAGAGCATTTTTGTCCTTCAATTCAATGTTTTATTTTTAGGGTATTTTGGAACATTGATTGTTTGTTAATTAATGATCTTCATACATGATCTCACAAATGTTTCATTTAGGGTGAAAGGACCCCTATTTTGAAGTATATGTTAGACTAACGGTTTTTACATATGATTTTTTGTCCTAAAATAAAACGTTTGGAGTCAAAAATACTTAAAAAAATTAAAATTAAAATAACTATTTAATCAAATATTAATATTTTTTTTATCTAAAACTAATCATTCTATATGTTTGGGTGAATATATAAGTTATTTATTTATCGGAGGAAAAGAATTTTACCTTTGTGGGTTTGAAAGGGTTTTTGCTTTCAAGCCTATATTCATGAATGACCCAATTACTTTTCTCACCCTTTGGGGCTCTTCCCTTGTAGAAAACTAGGGTTTTCTTCATACCAACAAGAATGCCGCCTGCCCGGAAGATTTCCCTGTCTTTGCCTGTGGTTTTCCAATACCCTGCTTCGGTGGCTCGGTTTGTTCGAAGCCCAGTTGGGTATTTCCGGTCCCTCAAGTTAAAGAAGTACCATTCTTTCTCCCCCATTGATGCCTTGGCTGCATTTTTTATAACTCTATTATCAGTCTACTTTGTTATGCCACCTTAAAGTTTATGCATGGGGAAACAAAGTGTTTTGTACTCAGAATTTGCCTATAATTAATTTATTAACCATAATCTTTTCCTTTCAACATAATTAGACGTTGTTTGCATAATTCGTATGTTCTTCCCAAAAAAAATCTAAATAATTATTATCCAATGGGAAAACTTAATGTGTTCTTAGACATTGTTGTACCTCCTCCACAACACTTCTATTGTGGTTGCTCGCATATTAAACATTGAATCCTTTGAAGTTTTATATCTTTCAGCTAGTTATAGTCTTTCGACGTGACTACTGTCAATCTCATTATCAACCAAATCTATTATCCGACAATCATATCTATTAACACTATCGAACTTATAAGTAGTCATCATCATTTTAACACTGACACCAAAATTAAGAGTTAGTCACCATTCAAGGTTTAAAAGAAGACTTTCTAACTCTCTCCCACTCTCAGACGATTGTTCTTCATCTTTTGCAGCTCGATCGTCTGCTCGTCCTTTCTCCTCGATTGAATAACCATTTGTGATTTTGCATCCAAATCAATAGGGACGAATCCCCACAAATCACTGCAACTCATTTCTCCCATCAACGACATTAAAAACAAATTATCTAAGGGCAACAGTTATTAAGTACTCAATTCCAGCAGTTTCAATTTCAGCAGTTTCAATTTCAATTAAAAAAAACCTTGAATGGTTTCTAGGTTGATTAATAATTGTCTGACTTATCAACCAAAAAAAAAAGTAGAACTAGTTTGAAACAAATTATGCACAAGGCATACCTGGAAGATCCCAAGGCTCAGATTTATTGAGATCAACATCAACAATAGCTTTGGAAGTGAAGCTGATATCAGACACCTTGTGTGAAAGATAGTAAGTGATGAGTTCTTCATCTGTGGGATGGAATCTGAATCCTGGAGGTAGATTCTCCATCCTTTTTCTTCTTTCCGAAACCCTAAAACCAATTCCCGAAGCTCAGATTACCCTATAAAAAAGAGATTATAACATCAACTGGAAGGAGATGGGAAATGGGGTAGCGTGTACTTTATGTTCTATAACTTCCCTCTTGAAGAAGAAGCAGCCATGACTAACCTTTTCTTATTATTACGATGATGATAATTACAGCTAACACTTTGACAAAACAGGCAAGAAAAATACTACTTGGTTTTGAAAATTTAGACCAATGGCACTGTAGAGTGAGTGATGAGTTAGATATATAGATGGGTGGATTTGCTGATGTGTCACTGAGGTTTTGAAATTGTTACTGAAAAGGCCAAGCAATTGTAGCATTGACTAATGGATAGATTTGTTCAAAGTGTATGTCTGTGGAGGTTGAGTCTTTGATACACTCTAGGGTTAGAGATTTTTTGTGTTTTTATTTGTTTGTGTGATATTCTTTGCTCCAACCACCTTCACCCATTTCTACCAACCCAAATCTTAGTTCCAATGGCCCTTTAACATCGTGAATGAAGTTGAGGCGGTCGTCTTACAAAAATTCTCATATAATTTATGTGTTTTCTTTACATTTTATATTGATAATATTTTTTTCCATCTTCAATTTTATAAGTTATCTTTTAAAATTTTATAAATTTACCCTTTTAACATAAAATTATATGTTCATCATGATTGTCATCGTGCCCTTTCTTTAAAGTCTTGGATGTTAAGATTTCTTTTGTTCCATGAGTGATGATGACATGTTAATATCTTCATTAGTATTGTTGTCACATATGCTTACATTTCCCTCAAAAAATTCCCCTGGGTCTATGTTCTAGGCAATTGACAAAAATAAAATAAAATAAATATCATGAGTATTTAATCTTCCAGAAATTATTACGGTTTAAAACTTAGATTTTACAAAGATATTTATTTAAATGTCATCCAATACATTTAAATGACTTAAGCTTTGAACCTAAACTCTGAATAAGACAAATAATAATAATAACAATACAATTTTGTTTGTGAAATATTCTTTTCACCTTTAAAATAATAATCCTTAATTTTGTTGATCATCACATATTTTAATTTATATATAATCATTTTTTCAAAGTGTCAGCATTAAACTTATTTTAAGAGACATTATTTAAATTGGGATGATAATGGAGTTTCATCAATAAACCTTTTCTTATGTGTGAATAAAAAGAGTTATAGTATGATATATATATATATATATATATATATATATATAATTTATATAGTTTAATCCGTCAATATCATGGGATAATCAAGAGTCATTACTAATAATGAAATGCATTTAATTGTAAAATTATTGGTAAGAATAAGGGGATGACAATGGACACTGCCATGACTGCTCACAAATTTATTTTAATTAGTGAAAAGGATAATTAATAAAGAGTGGTTAAAAGGGTCACCAACCCCCACGACTGTATGTATCTATGCATGGTTGAAAGCATTTTTGTTTAGACCTTTTCTTTTCCTCTTCCTCTTCCTCTTCAAGCTTTGTTTCTAGAAACACCCACTTAATTAATCTGGATCACTGACAGATGTATATATATTATAGTACGGTGAATAAGTGTAAATCTTGAAATCTGATTTTTTAATATTTATTATTTATTTTGATGATCATGTTTATCTTAAAATTTTATTTGTGCTCCTTCACATACATAAATTTTGTGTTGTTAACATATATGCCCAATGAATTCATCGTGGTCTCAGTGGTAAAAAAATAATGTTGTTCTTCCTAAAAGTCCTGAATTTGAGCAGTTGGGTCTGCAAATGTGTGTTGTCAATGAACTAATAAAGTTCTGAACATATATTATCTTGTAAATTGTAATCATCCCAAACTATTAAAAAAATATGTCAAACTCCTAAAATTTTAGAAGAGTAAATTTATGAAATTTTAGGGACGAAAATAAATTATTAATATAAAATAAAAAAATCTAAAATACATAATAATTTGAAGTTTTCAAATTAGTCTCTCTTGATCCATCCATGCATCCACTATTAACTCTGATCAAGTTTTACTCATGATATCAATTAAGAATTAAAATCTTGAATATTTTTAATATTTAATGAAAAAATTACCACTTTATAATCTTATTTGAAGTAATATAATTAATCTTTGTTTAAATCATAAAAAAGAACATGTAACCCATTTTTAAGGGTAAATGTAAGCCGTTTTTATGCATTAGTTGGGCATTGGCAGCAAGTTGTTGCCCTAAAGCGTTCCGTCAATTTCTCGACCCAAAATGTGAATCAATTTTAACCAAATGTAAATCAGAGATTGAATCTCTTTTTTATTTATTTTTTTCATTTTAAATATTTAAATAAAAATATAATATAATTTTTTACTTAACCAAAACAAACACGTCTCTCCTTTTTTTTAATTCATTTTAGATATTAAAACAAATGAATATAATATTTTTATTATGCCTCGGAGTTATTTTTTCGATTGCTAAATTTTAAAAGATTTATGGAGTTATTTAAAGCCCTCAAGAGTTTCGTATCCTTTTAACAACTATAACATTTTCACATGACCAATAATTATTATACCATAGTAAAATCTATTTGATTTGTCAAACTACGAGTAGCCATCACGATCTTACATATGATATCATCACTTTGAAGTTATTACATCCAAAACTTGAAAATGAACATCATCATCTTTCCTCTATTGAAAAATCAGACAATTCGTAATTCCACTATTAAAATGAATTAAAAAGAAGGGTAGAAATTAAAGAAAATTATTATATTCATTGAGTTTTTTTTTGAATATAACATTTATATGATATATTAATATATAATAACATTTTACTAGTCCAAAAATTATTTAAAAGGAAAGCGACGGGAGATAATGATTGTTAATTGTTATTTCAAACTAAGATATACCTAATTAACAAACAAAAAATGATAGGCTTATTTAGATGAAAAAAAGTACAGCAACATAATTAGAAAGTGTTTTTTTATCATAATAATACATCCATGTAATATTTAATTCGATTAAATAGATCAATAAATCAAATACTAAAAAGATTGAGAGAAACGATAAGAACTAAAAACATTTTGCTTTAAATGAATCTGAGAGAAATGGTCATTCTTATAACCAAAAATAACGACATATTCCATACTTCAGATATACATACTTGCATCTCAAGCAAACTAAATGAATATATAAAGAATTAATTTAGATTACGCTTTTATAGGTGCAGAACCTAGAGGAATGACCATTGAAATCATGATGCACTTCATCTAAGCAAGGCAGAAGAATCATACCGATGGATTCATCTTAAAATGAAACCTCTTCTGGAAACTACACCTATTCCCTTTTCTTAGGCAGGCATCCTTATCTCGACTGAAAATGCAACTTCTACATAATTCGGATCATGTCTCCGGGAGCTTACACTCTTTCTACTGCCTGAAAGGGGCAACACAAGAGAATCTACTCACTCTTTATCCACCATACCTAAAGAGCTCTGAGTTTTACCTACTTGTTGTCGGCTTTGTAGAGTCTGTCCTCGATGTTGTGCTGGTTTCTATAAGCCATTCCTTCTATGGTACCTTGGTCCAGCAAGAATAGAGCATATACGAGCTATAGGGTAACGAAGCCAAAGAATACATTTGGTGTTCTCAACTTATAACCAAAATGCAACAACAGAAAAAATATATCAAATGAACCGTGCATGAAAGAATGCTTACATCATCTTGTATCGGAAGTTTGCACCCTAAAATGAAAAACGCTGGAATAAAGTTTCCCACATCAATGTTATGTTATCTGCAAACCAGATAAAGCTCATTGTCACTTTAAGAAACAGAACTTACATTGCAATTGCAATACTATTAAGTTTACGAAGTCTACTGAAGTGACTGAACCACAAGTGGAGTGGCAAAAGACTTTTGTTCAAGTCTCCAGTTGACACCTGTATATTGGATTAAAATTTTCAGTTTAGATTGTTTCGATATAATTAAAAAGAGGCAAAATATGGTTCAAACTTGATGCCTTTCGGTGAAAGATTGTGTGCAGCTGAGGAATCAGTTTATGTACCCATGGAAAGTATATCGGATACCTCATTAAACTTTAAGTCACCCATGGACTGCTGAGAAACCAGCTTTAGGATGCTTATTATCACTGTGAACAATTTTCATTATCCGAAACTGCTTTCTCAGTATGTCCTAAGCCTTTCCCACCTTTTGATAGTTCTCGGCTTTCATGAGGAAAACCACCTAAGAATAGAAGAAGAACCATACCTCAATCAGCCTATTCCTTGCTGCTCACCGTTGATGCTGCGGTATCCATGTTTGTAGATCTTTTAAGTGATTTCAACTGATCGATCTCCTCATCTTTTCTGGCTATTGTTTCCTTGAGAGATGCAATCTGCAAGAGCCGGATAAACTCAAAACACAATAATATGAATAGAGTAATAGTACAGTATCATTTACACATGACTCTCATACACATTTAAAGGACACTGAAATAAGATGGTGTCTGACACCAGTTGGGTTTGTATTGGAAATTATAACATTGGAGAAGAAAAAAAATGTGATACACAGAAGAGGCATATAAAAACTGCACCTGCTCCATTAACTCCCTAACATCCTTCTCCTCTTTTCCTACTTCGTGCAGCGCCTAGCTCAACTCCAGAAACCCGTTCAGCAAACTTCAAAGTACTAATAGTTTCGGAATAGGAACTGGCATCGGAATTGAGCTGCACAAGCATAAGGGTCTTTGCCTGGCCTCCTATAGCATACAGTACCATGAAACTTATGTAACATACAGAAATTTAGATGAACCATAACATCAGCATTCCCCGAGCATAAAAACCAGGAGAAGGTTTCTGTAGTTTAAGAATAAAGATGAAAGAAGTACCAAGTGAGCTTTGAAGAACTTGAGTGAGCTTGCTGTTTCTGTACGGCACGTGTGGACACTTTTGTGCAAGAGCGAAAATTACATCTCCAAGGGAAGACAATGATTTGTTTATATGTTGTGCTTCCCTAAGCCTATCTCCAGTTACCTCAGATCTATCTACTCTTTCACTGCCTGCTAGATCTACTAAATGAAGATTACCATACAATACAGTTCCGGTCTTTAAATCCTTCCCACGAACATGAACTGTGACTACACTGTAGCAATAACTCAATAATGCACCGGAAAAATATTCAGATGTGATTAAAAATATTAAATATACAAACCTGTGAGAGCGACTGCTCCTTGCATTTAGAGCAGTAGCACCAACAGCGCGATTCTGGAATCCAATATCCATTAAATCTAGAACATCCGAGGGTGATATAACAGCGTGCATGCTAGCATCAGGTACAGCTAACCCATTAGGTTGAGAGATAGTTGTAATCCCAACCGTGCGCGGATTAAGGAAAACAAATATAACTATAACTAAATCATGAATATTACTCAAAACTTTCAAAACAAAACACTTCAAAAAGAGAATAAGCGCGTGCACACACACACATGTATATATATATATAAACAGGTTTACAAACTTCCATTTAGCCAGTCTATCTTGTTTAAAATAAGGATATTTCCTAGGAGAACCATCACTGGATAATAAATCACGCAATTGTTCATTATATATTTCAACCATTTGAACCCCAACTTCATAGAGAATGTGGTTTCTTCTACTTTGAGAGAGACTGAAGAGATGATTCAAAGCATGATAATTAATACCCCTTTCCTCTTCAGTGGCTCCATTAGGACCAGTCTGGAAATGTCAAAAAGAAATGTTGAACGGGATTGTTCAAAAATGTTAGTGCAACTTTGTAAAACTTAAGGGTGAAGGGCTTCATACCATTGTATAGGTTTTCCCAGAACCAGTTTGACCATAAGCAAATATACAGACATTATATCCATCAACTACTGATTTAACGAAAGGTTGAATATCTGAAAACACTTCCCCTGACATTGTTTAAAAGAGTTTCTATAAATTAGGTATCGTAGTGCTTCACAAAACAAAGAGATTCAAATTCATATTGCAAGAAATATCAGTCAAATCAATTACAATAACCAACTTAAATGATGGAAATGAAAACCTTGAGTAGCATCTGGACCAAAGACTTTATTAAACTTAAATGACCGTTGGCCATCTTTTCCTGGCTTGGAGGGATTTGCAATAACCAACTGTCCATTTTCACTGATACTTTCTATAACCGACATTTTTCCGGTTTGTCCAGGCAGAAATGGCCTTATTCGACAAAAAACTCTAATATTCCCTGTAAAAATTTTAAAATACTGAAGGAGGTGACAAACAAAACCACAGGATCCATTAAAGAGAAGCATCTAATAGGTACCTTTCAAATCCTGTAGCTCGTTAAAAAGCTTTCGATTTTCAGCCAGGACTTCATGATAGTTCCCAGCCGCATCTGTTAATGCTTTAAACTTTGATCCTGAAAGAGAAAAAGTTCTTATATCAACTTCTACCACTAAAAAAACAAGCTGAAAAAATCTTTCCAACAACAAACCCACCTATTTCATTAAATTCATAAGAATAGCTCTTCTTTGTTTCCAAAATTTCTTGCTTAATGGCTAGGGAAATTGACCTCAAATCCTGAACACTTGCACAAATTAGTAAAATGAACGATTCCAAAGAAAAACATTCAAAACTCAAATGAAAAAGCAAAATATATACCTGCATTGCTTCAAACTGAAAATCAATAGAGCTTTGGTAGATCTTCTCTTTCATATCCCAACTCTGGCGTTTTGACTCTAAACTTGATTCAAGATCTTTCACCTTATTGATTGATTCTGAAAGGAGGTACTCAAGATCTTTTATCTTCATCTGAAGTACTGTTATAGCAGCCTTTGCCTCTGCTTCTATTTCCATGGAGTAAAATTTCTGCATCATTCCAGAAATTTCCAGAAAGGTACTTGTATTTCATGAGTTTAGATATTCAGACAGGAAAGACTCCACATTGAGATTTTGCATGAAGTAATTGATAAACAATGTGTAAATTAACATCTAAATAATTATGCCTGTGACTGTGAGCGAGTTGGACGGAAGCAGCTTGAAAACCAAGAACTGTTCTTTTTTCTTCTACTCTTAATCTGAGGCTGGTTTGTGGGCTGCTGTAACAAATAAGTTCATCAAATAAACAGGTTAGCCTCCACACATAAAAGAGAACTTTCTTTTTAGTGGATTTTTTTTCCATCAGTTTGTGCACCTTAGTCTCTTTACGAGTTGCAGATACAAGGGCCTCAAGTTCTCTGATTCTCGACCGGTGCTTTTCGTCATGAGCCCTGTAAATATTGTTTTGCTGCAGGCACAATACCACAAAAAAATCTATAGAGAGAAACTGAGAAGAACTTAAAGCTAGTTATATAGAATAGGATTTACAGTTCTTAGGTGATCTGCTTGAGTAGATAGACGCCGTCCAATCTCCTGCACAACCTTTATCAGTAGACAAGCCACATGCTGAGGCAACAAAGATAATTTCATCATCCTCTATAACATAATATCCATATATTTGATCATGCATACGTGTAAAATATTAAGTCCAAAAACGCACAACAGACATAAAAAAGTTACATCCATTAGTTCATCATATACCGTACATTAGGTATTTCACCGTTCTTTGCTTCAACACTTTCATCCAAAATACCATACACAATATTTAAAAGTGACTGAGTTGGCGCATTCTGCACAGAGGAAATACGAGAACACACCAAACAACAAGTTTTAGGGTATTTAACAGTAGAAAGCTAGACAAAACACAACATAAATCATAATAAATTGTGCCCACTTACTTCTAAATTTTTTGATTCCATCATTTCTAGAATTTTTGTCACAGGGAGCTCAGCATAACACACTTGTTTTAACTGAAACGCTTCATGGAACTTGTGCCCAACATTCTGCAGAACTGTGGCTGGCAGTTCTGTGGAAAGCACGTTTAGCTATATATATATGAAATAAGCATATATATACAGTTTTAATAGATTAGAAATCGAATTAAAAACTTATAAGGTTTTTTCTTCACGTTAGCAGTGTGGTTTACAAGGCTTGTATGTCCTTGGTGCACTGTGCACAAATTAACCATCAACTAAATATCCAATTAACTAGAACTGTCTTCAATTTATACATTCCTTATGCCATTTTTCCCATTGAAAGCACTTGAACTTTTCAAAGTATCCCATATACAATGTTAACGTGCACAAACAAGGAGGCACGTAGACATACCTGGAATTACAGGACTGTGCATGTCACATTGGAATTTTGATCCGGGGGAAGCCTTCCTCATTTCTTCATCAGATAATTGTGGGCGACTGCCAGGGGATGATGCATCCCCATCAATGCTTTCAGCTTTCGTAATGGTACTTATGGCAGATAAGTCCTCTACAGATGATATGAAATGTATTTTTAGTGCTAAAAGGCAGTTGACTACAGTCTTCATAGATCCCTGAAGAAGAGAGAAAAGAGTAAGATCATTGAATAAAATTTAAATTCTTCCAGGTTCATAAACGAGGAAGCAGATAAAACAAAAGCGATAAGTATCTGTGTTGCACCAATATAGGCTTTGATTTTACAGATTAAACATATTCATTAAACTCTTTCGGTCAAATTGATTCATGTACTTATGGCAGATAAGTCCTCTACAGATGATATGAAATGTATTTTTAGTGCTAAAAGGCAGTTGACTACAGTCTTCATAGATCCCTGAAGAAGAGAGAAAAGAGTAAGATCATTGAATAAAATTTAAATTCTTCCAGGTTCATAAACGAGGAAGCAGATAAAACAAAAGCGATAAGTATCTGTGTTGCACCAATATAGGCTTTGATTTTACAGATTAAACATATTCATTAAACTCTTTCGGTCAAATTGATTCATGATTTCAGAATCTCTTAGTGTGTGGGTAACAAATCAAATTTCATTTAAATATATTGTTAAAGGAAGATTTCAGTTTATTAGGGGATACCTTCTCTAGGTCTGGTAGCTCAAATCTGGGTATTCCCATCTCATCCATAGCAGCCAAAAACAGTTTAACATTTTCTGACTGCGATACTGAAGAATTTTCAGGATACACTTCCTGGAGAAAATATGCACAATAAGCCACAACATAAACACTCTGTAAATTAACATTAAGATTTAATCAAAAGAATCTAAAATAAGCAATCAAAGTTTCAAACAACCTCGTTTGGAGAATTAGGCCTAAGGATGTTCAAGGTTTCACATAGAACAGTGCCATCAATCAAGCAAGCTCTCAACTCTTCATCAGAGGCTTCAGTTGGCAAACTGAGGTCAGGAAGAATACTGTTTAACCACTCAATCACGATTTCCCGATTCTTGGCTGCAGAGGAGGAAAAGACAAACAACAAAACACTTAGTTAAACAACATAAAAGGAAAAGCAAAAAAAGAAAAAAGAAAAACAGACATGTTATATCAACTTCGTATAAATTGTTACTTCAACATTAACTCAAAATTTGGAAACGCTGTTACATTAGAATAGCCAAATCCTGCATAGTGTTTTGCTTGGTAATCCGCAATTGACTTATCAATCAGATGCTAAAGTTCCTTTGGGGCATAACTTCCGATTCCTCGTGTGGTTAGTTATATGCCCTTGCATTAATTTTGCTAACTTATTTGCATAGAAAAATTAACATGGGTATATCTTGCAATCACAAAAGAAGATAGAAAACACACACGAACACTAAAAGAATCCGGTACCCAGTAAAGAACTTAGCTAAAGTATAGTTAAAAAACAGGGAATGCAAGTAAAAGTTTTAGCTTATACACAAACACACACACGAAAAGCTAAACACTGTACCATTAAAAGAAAAAGACATGATCATTCAACATTTGTTAAAATACAAGAACAAAAGCATCAGAAATGCCAAAAAGATGAACAATCTGCAAATTCATGGTGAAAACAAAATAGAAAAAAGAAAATTAAATCATAGGAAACATTACTATGAGATTGGCGAAACATGATAGAGCCAAGCCCAACCTGAAAAGGGAGGTGCAAGGTGAACAAAGGTTCAAATGAATCTTTGTTAATTGGCAAAGTATGGGGTTATGTGGTTAAAATAATAATTTTTGAAGATTGGGTTTGAAGAATTTTTCTGATTGAATGGCAAACGCTGTAGGATCGGAGGGGAGGGAGAAATCAAGCGGGAAAGAAGGAAACTAACTCCGTTGCCGTCTCAGCCGTGGTTCCGTTGGGTGTTTGCCACGCGTCCAAGATCCGACATCGATGCTCCATCTTTTGTGGCTTGACCTGAGATGTTTACCATATCATCAATGATGTCAACTCCATACATGAACAAGTAGCAGTTCATGACGCATTCCTACAGTTCCAAATTCACAATTTGGATTTGGTATACTACAAAATTGAAAACAATTCTTTGATGATTCATAATTTGTTATATTCTTCCATAACTGTAAAAACTGCACTATGCGACATAAATTTAATTGGTACTCTAATTTTTCTTAATAGAAGTGGTAAAAAGTTGAAAATTCTAAAATTATAATAACAGCTTATAAATATAAATTTGATCGTAAACTAAATATATAATTAATATATTTTTATAATATTAAAATTAGTTATTTTAGATATCATATATAAAAAAGTTAAAAATTTAACTAAAAGATTAAAACAAAAAATAAATACTAAAAAATCTGACTACAAAATCGTGAGAAACTATCCATGAATGGAAGATTGTGTATCCAAATTTAATATGAGGGTCTACAACGGTAAAGATCAATAGAATTATAAATAAATGTCATCTGGATTAATCGTGGTATTATTAAACCCTAAAAAATTAAAAATAAAAAGAAGCGAGAAAGAAGATAAAAAAGTACCACAAAAATAAAGAAAAAAACATGTCATAAAGGTTGATTTACTTTTTTTTAATGAATTTAAAAGGTTTAATACCAAAATAAGTGTTCAAATTATACCGTTTTTTCTAAATAGTTGCCTAAAATATTTTTTGACTCATCCATGTATCTAATATTACAAACATTACCATTTTAGGTGTCCGGACCATCAACGACGTTAATTTTCTCCGTTAAGTGACGCGTGTAACAAACTGATAATTTTCAAATTTATTTTTAAAAATATTATTATATTTATAAAAAACCTTAATTTCTTTTAAATTATAAAAAAACCCCCAAAATACCTAAAATCCCCAAATCTTAACCTTAACCCGCCGACGTAGTCCCTACCATCTTTTTAGTCATACGTCGTCGTAGTTACCGTCAATTTATCTTCTGAGTCGCGTGGGATCGCGATTTTCATCCTAAGGCTCGCAGGGTATAAAACGTCGATTCGTCGTCAATCGGTCACAATTTCATAAGGATTTAGCCGTCAGGGGAGGTGAGTCGGGTGGAATTTCATCTACGAAGAAGGGTTGCGGCCAACATGGGTTTAAGAGTTGAAATGAAGATTTTCAAAGTTTTAAGATTATTTTAAAATTTTTGTGTTTTCTTTTTCAAAAAATATATAAATTTAATTTTTTTTAGTTTTAAATAAAAAATTTAAAATTATCAGATTGTGATATGTGTAACTTAACGAGAGAAATTAACACCGTTGATGGCTTGAACACATAAAGTGGTAATGTTTGTAACGTTAGACAACGGAATAAGTCAAAAAATATTTTAAGAACTTATTCAAGAAAAGTAATATGGTTTAAGTTCTTATTTTGATATTAAGCCAATTTAAAAAGAAACAAAAAGAAGAAAATATTTGATGATTGATAATCAATATTAAAATCGATATTATCGTAAGTTAAATAAAATCAACAAATAATTGATTTAGTCTATAAAAACGGTATAAATCTTAAGACAAAAACAGAAAGTGAGCAGCTAGGGTATCATTAACTCTATTATGCCTTAAAACAAACTTATTTTTAATAAGATTTAATTTTAAGTTCTTATTATACTTAATATGGGTAATTATGATCTTTGATAAGCGTCATTAGCTTTATATAGCTAAGTCGGCTTTAAAAAAATAAAACAAGGACGTTGAAATAGGTAAAAGCTAAAAACTTGTCACTTTATTATTGGGGATGTGGCTTGTTTTATTTTTATAATAGAAGTCGTTAATTTTATTAAAAAATTAATTTTTAAAAGAATTATAATAAATGTTTATAATTATAAATATAAATTAAATATATAATTAAAGTAATTTTTATAATTATTAATATAAGAAATTAGTCAATTGAAATCATACAAAGATTATATAAGGAAAAGTTTAAAAATTCAAACAAAATTCAAACAAAATATATATACAGACATATCTAACTTGCTTTGGCAAATAAACCATAATAGAGAATCAAACTATTAAAGACCATTAATAATCGTAAATCAAGCATTAACATAAAAAATATTATCTATAAAAATAAATTATATATTTAAATCTAATTCAAAAATCCAAAGAAAAAAATATAACATTGAAAACAAACCGAGGCTTATTTTATGATGTTCCCTGACATAATGAATCAATAGGCCTTTTCAAGACCCAATACTATTCTGTAGGTTGTAGGATGTGTGAAACTTTTATATCCAAATTAAGGACGATGGTCTACCTTCTAATCATTCCTTCACAATGACATACATATTTTCTGTCTTTATAGCATTTAATTTGATACTGTGTGCAGCCCCTACTCACGTTTACCTTTAATGATTTGTAGTCTTGTCTTTTTGGTTTTCTATAAAGCTGGAATGGCTTTAGGGGTCGAATGTGTATCTTTTATGTTATTGTACTTACGGATTTTCTCAGAGAGATGGTATAGCATTTTCGGTTTACTATTCATCAAAGAATACTTTAGGGGTTGTAGACTTGTAATTAGTGGCATTAATGAAAGCAACATCTTTCACCTCAAGTATCTTTGGTCATCAAAATAGTGCCTTTTATACATTCTAAGCTGAAGATTTCTAGTTTTCAACGTGGCCTTTCCTTGTCTTTAAAAATTATTTATAGAGCCTATTGGAGCAGAAAATGTGTCTTATGAAGAGAAAAATATGGATGTGGACCTTCAAAAAGCGTACGATGGATTGGAATGAGGTTATATTGAGGATACTCTTTATATAGTTGGCTTACATGAGAAAATCATTAGACGAATCATGACATGTGTGAGATCGGTATAGAATCAGTTACTTTGGAATGGGGAACTCATAGAATTGTTTAAGACTACTAGAGGAATTTGACAAGAAGACCCTTTTTCGCCTTATCTCTTTGTTTTATGCACGGATAGACTGCCACAGACGATTGAGGAGAAAAGTTGAAATACGTGCTTAGAATCAGATTCGTCTCTCACGAAATGGTCCTAAATTATCTTATATTTTCTTCGTGGATGACTTAGTGTCATTTGGGGAGGCTTCTACAGGCCAGTTACATGTTATTAAAGAAGTTCTTGATTGCTTTTGTGGGAAGTCAAGACATCGAATCAATTTGGTATGTTGGTAATGCTTAGACACTATCCCACATTGAGTGGGAAATACCATTTGCAAGGGTATTTATAGTGTTCATTCTTCCCTCCCTTGTTGAGTGATAGAGAACAAGGGACCATCTCGCGCGTCGTCCATCTCAACTCGTATGCATGCGCGTTAATACGTGTCTTCGACACATCTACGCGCGTACTAACTTCTTGAAGAAAATTCTTTCATGTGAGATTTATAGGTTGAACAGTGATTTGTTATTTGATTCATATTTATAGAGGTATAGTGGCTGCATTTTGAATTCTGTAAATTTAGTCTAACAGTTAGTTGTAATTGAGAAGCATTATTTTCAGAATTTTGTCTTATAGTGTATCTGGATAGTATTTCAACTATATATAGAATGAATTAGATAATTGTTATATTGCTTCAATTTCGGGGGCTTAATGGTAGGTTAATTAGTTGTTGTAACAACTATATCCAAATCATGAACCTAGATAGCTTTGTGACCATATTCATTCGTTTATGCCAGGCTTAAAATATGGAAATAATAAAATCAAAATTTAATATGATTTCTTGCTTGGACGATTTTGTCCCTAATTCTCTCTAAGGCTTTATAAGTTTTTGTAAGTTTTTTAACGATTCAGAAGAGCAGTACCAATATAGTTCACTCCATTTTTGGGTGTATGAATTCTCGGAGCGACCGTGTTAACATCAGAGGACAATCCGCCTAACGTAGCGATTATACACATTGGGACAAATTTTTTTCTAAGGCAGTGGTTTCAACACAACACGGTTCAACTTTTCATTTACTGATTTTATTTAAATTTTCCTCTCAGTGCTAACGGTGTGGTTTTGCAATATACATATTTCCTACAATTTAGTAACAAATTCAATTTACTACAAAAGATGTTGAAACCATTAAGCAAGATTATTACCAATTTGTCCAAGCTCGATGTACATGATGGGTCCAATTACTGAAGGTGGTCCCAACGGATCTTAATTTTCTTCGAGCGACTTGACTTAGACTACATGTTACTGAAGCCATTACCATCGTTGCTACTGAAAAGTTAGAGAAAGACAACAAGATTGTGCGTAGCCATCTCCTGAGTCACATGTCAAACAATCTCTTCGACATGTTTCTCAAAGAAAGAAGTGCCAAGAAAATATGGGACATGCTTGAGAAGAAGTACAACATTGATGATGCAAGTATCAAGAAATATGTCATTGATGAGTGGCTGAAATTCCAGATGACTGACGACAAACCAATAATGAATCAAGTTCATGACTACAAAAACTTGGTCCCCAAAATTCTTACCAAATGAATATAGATGTGTGAAGTGTTGTAAGCCAACATCCTGATAGAGAAGCTGCCCAAGTCTTGATTTGATTACCGTAACTCTCTCAAATACAAAAAGAGGGACATCTCACTTGAGGAGATGGTGGGCAACATGAAGATAGAGGAAGCTAGCTGTTTAAAAGATAAGGTTACTAACTCTATTGGTAAATTATCTTTTAAAGTAACCTAGTTGAGTTCGGTGCTATCTCAGGGTCTAAATTCAAAAAGACTGTGAAAAAAGGAAATCAAAACAAAAAGACGAAACCTTAGAAGGGCACCAACTCTAAAAAAACAGGAAAGGCCAAAGCTGAAAGAAAATCGATCAAGTGTTATGTGTCCGGTAAAGTCGGTCATAAAGCCTACTAATGTCAACATCGTTCAGAACGCTAGAACAAAAACAAGACATAAATGAACGTTGCGGAGAACAATTTTGACATCACCATAACAGTGGTTTTAAAAGTAAATCCGGTTGAGAACAATGTTAAGTGGGTCATGGAAACTGGCACTTCCATATATTTCTATGCAAGGAAGGAGTTTTTCACCGAGTTCGAGGATGGGGATGAAGGTGAACGTGTGTACATGGGGAATTCTAAAAGCT